GTTGAAGGACTGACCTTAAATATTTTTTTTAAATACAGCAATCTGAAAAACTCTGCTCAAAACAGGTCAGGGTAGAGTTGACAAAATATTTTTTTTTATGACAAAACTATAAGGATTTGAAAGCTAAAATTTGGGACTTTTCTTTTTAGAAAGTGTGTGAACCTCCTAGAATTTTTTTAGTCAAATCTGAGATGGTCCTGCGAGGGGATTTGGAGATTTGGCGTGGAATGACCCAGTAGTTGTAGTAGTAGTAGTAGTTGCTGTATGCTCTTGTGAATATAGTTCTCATAATATCTGTCTTTAGTACATCATGATTTCTTTAGGTGCGTCCTCGGTGGGCCTCTGCTGCTCGCGGCGGTGAGTGTACGCCGCGTGGTCGTACATGTAGATGACCGCGATGGACGCCAGAGACAGGATGGTGTACGGGATGACCAGGAAGTACCCCGCGTAGAACGTCGCTTGTCTGTTCCTCATCTCCACGGCCGTCCCCTCCGCCTGGCCCAGGATCACGCTCTCCGCCATGTTTGTCGCACTGACCGCCACCGCAAACAGGATCAGCACGAGCGCAGAGACGCTGGCTGCGGGAGGACAGAAGAGTCAGGAGAGGTGCAGTGTTTATACTTCGTTTACTATGACTCTGGTGATGGTCAGAGAAGCTGATGGAGCAGATTGGCAGTGTTAGGATAAATAACTAGGCTTAGCTATTTTGTATACTGTATTTTTCAGACTATAAGTTGCACTTTTTTCATGGTTTGTGTGTTTCCTGTGACTTATACTCCGGTGCGACTTAGATATTAAAATTTTCAGACTGACAGACGCAAGAGAGCGCTCGAGGCTTGTGTGTCAGTATCTGCTGCTCCTATAACTCCTGTACCGCTGTCACTTCACTCTACTGCGCATGTCTCCTGTAGAAAAAGGTGCTGTCTTGCTGCAAATAGTGAAATATTCAGCCGAAAACGGTAATCGAGCAGCAGAAAGAAAGTTTGGAGTGAGCGAGAAACTTGTGAGGGACTGGTGGAAAGCAGGGATGGAGAACACAGCTTCATGGGCATGTAACTTTCCTGGAAGTCACTGGATGGATCGACAAAGCCTGAACTTCAATGACAATCTCAACCATCCTGTTGGGATTCAGAAAGACCGGAATAATTCTAACTGGAACTGATGCTGAGTCTGACAACAGCTACACAGAAGAGGAAGCGCCACTCCGTTTACCTCATGGATCTATGGTTTATCTCCAGAAGTCGCGCAGGAGTGACACCAAGGATGAAGAATTTAATGGATTTAGTGATTTGGAGTGAGATCGTGAGTTTGGCAAACTTATATTCTGTTGTTTATGCTATAATTATCTGAATAACTGTTAATATGTTATGTTAACATATTAACACCTTTTCAGTCTGTTGTTCTCTGTTCTTGCCCTTCAAGATGAAATGTCGGTTCCTGTTCTCTGATTTTATAAAACACATTTCCCAAAAAGTGCGACTTATATATGTTTTTTTCTTCTTCATTACGCATTTTTTGGCTGGTGCGACTTATACTCCGGAGCGACTTATAGATCAGAAAATACGGTAATCGTTTCTATACTTCATTATTGTACTGAGGTCATTTGAAGATAAAGGCTCTGATCACAGCTCTGAGTCTCATAGATTTATGTCAAGACAAATCCATGATATTCCAGTCTATCTAAAAGCAAACTAACTAAATAGGACAAGAACTACTGATAGGGATGATGTCATGACTTGTTAGCCAGATAACAGCACGGATGGAGTCTGATTGGACCTGGCTGACCTGTGCACCAACGACGAGGCGCTAAGTCTAAACCATGGTCACCTCCCACTATAGTTTACATATAAAAGTCATTGTATTGGTGTAAAACATTGAGTTTCTGCATGATAATGACAGCACAGACCCCTTGTACAAGTATGGCTTTCTAATATTGGAATAAGTAAATTATCTGGACTTTATTTCTGTTTCAAGTGTATTTTAATCATGAAATATAAAGGTTGTTTTCTTCAACAGCGGCCTCACTTAACTTTTTCAGTTGCTTACCACTATTACCACATGAAATATAAATGTAAAATATACTTGTAAAAATACACTTTTACTTCTGTTTCCAAGGGCAAAAGACTTTTTATGAGCAGAATTTGTTTCAAAGTTGCAATCTCCATTAATCTTATTCAGATTGAACATGGATCTATGATAAGAACTGGATAAGACACTCCCCCTCTGCCCCTTTGTGAGATCGACTAGTGGTCACTCTAGGTACTGCAGGTCGTGGGAGCTCAGGCCCAGAAGGAAATCTCCCATAGAGCAGAGTGTAACAGTGTGTACCTGACCACAGAGCACAATGTATTTTTGTGTGAATTCTGCCCGTGTTCGGCTGACAGGGCATTGACATCTTTCATAAAGGCTGGATGTTGTAGGATTCTTTTGTATTCTTATAATATGAACTTTTTAGACTTTTAAAATGGTCAAAGTGTCTTAAAGTCAGCTTTGTAAGATTTAGAGTAGCCCCGCTCTAGCAGCTCTCTGATTGGTCAGAAGTGCATGTTTCTGACACGCGTGGGCGGGGCTCGGTCAGTATTTGGGAAGTAATGCCGAAGGAAAAACGTTTTTTTTTGGCACCAATGAGGACAGGCCACTGAAAATAACACAACACCATCCTGGCTTCCTCTTCCAGATCTTATGTTACTTCCATGGATGGTCCTGAACTTGGGACAAAGGAGACGTTATACTGCAAAACACTGACACCTGCTGGTCATATTGTGCATTATATCTAATTCCCTCCTGTTCTTATTGCCATATTTACTTGTATATATCACCTATTTTACTGTTTATTTTTAGCTACATTTATTTTTTTTTGAAACGTATTGAATTTCTTTATTGATGAAAATTATATCATATCGAACCGAAAGCGCACTGTATCGAGGTATGTATCGTATCTTAACTTAACTTCTTAATGATACCCAGCCCTAATATTCACTACACTCTACACTGTAATATCCTGTTTATTGTCTATATGTATATCACACTTACTGGTCCTTGCACTTCTGATTAGATGCCAAACCACATTTCATTTCCTTCTATTTATACATGTATAATGACAATAAAGTTCAGTCTAATCTAATCTAAGTGTCTTTATTTAGGGACACCATTACACATAAACTTCTGTCTCTCAAGGCTTCACTTCTCCCATTTTTGTGTTGACCTGGACTCTCTGAATAATAACAGTACACAGAAATATAAATAAATATTAACATTAAATAAAATTATTAACTTTGTATAACTCTATAATTGTACCATATCTGATGTACTGTGTGGAAATTTGGGGTTCAACATGTAAAACTTACCTACAACCTTTATTTATTTTACAAAAAAGGGCCTTGAGAATGATCACCAGCAGTCATTGTAGAGAGCCATCCAACCCAATATTTGTTCAACTTAAAGTGTTGAAAATACAGGATATTGTTGACTTAAGTCTCCTCAAAGTCATGTATAAAGCAAAGTGTAATTTATTACCTGTAAATATTCAAAAACTGTTTGAGATGAGAACAAGCCACTACAATTTAAAAGGAACCTACATGTTTAAAAAACCCAGATTCAGAACCAAGGTTATGGAGCGAAGTGTCGCTGTGAAAGGAGTTCACTTATGGAAGAGTCTTGACAAAGAAATAAAAGAATCAAGTACAATGACGACATTTAAAAAACATATACAATCGAATGCACTGTGTCTGTATGAAAAAGAAAACTAAGTTGTGTATAATAATGAAGATTTACTGTTTGCAATTGATCAGTAATTGTGCCTGAACTGATATGGAATGTTTAGTGACGATCAGTGTTGATGTTTTGTCTTGAAAAAGGAAAGGGGGGCAGATAACATAAGATTTTTTTCTTCTTTCTGCTCCTTTTCATTCATTTCTTGTGTGTTTGATGTTGTGACACTGTAGATGTCTTTTTATGCTTTATGAATGAAATAAATAAATAAAAAATAAATAAATAAACTAGTTCTTACCACTGATAGAGCTGCAGATGTAGACTCCAATGGGCCCCATGTACGTCTCGTAAGGGTTACTGACACTGTTGTAGAGCGCGATGAGGATGCTGAGGGCCGAGAACACCAGACACAGACACAGCAAAAACACAACCAGAACGTACAGGACCGCAGGAGCCCCACTGTCCTTAATTTTTTCGAAGACTACAAAAAAAAAAATCATGAATATTACACTGAAGGAACTACAGGAACTATGGGACAAGATGCTTTCTGATCTATGTTATAATGTTGTTTCCTCATCACAAATTTTTACTCTCACATGTTTAACGCACAAACCCTGCAGATTTATTTACACTCCGTTCCACCTTGTGATGTCATGCGGTAATACAGGAAGTGCTCTACATATTTCGTCTCATCTTGTGGAAATTCTGTCTCATCCAAACCGCTGAAGAAACCTTTGACCGCTGAATCACAGTATTATATCATGATTGATCACTGCGGTTTATAATGTGCAGGACTTCCTCATTATCCCCGATCACAGTCCCATTGCACGACGTTATTTTTAAGAGACTGGTTTGATGTAGTTTGGCGTCCTTGAGCAAGACGTTTCCAAGAAGAGATTGGCCACACAGAATATAGGTCTCCAGGAAGAATAACTGCTATCTAATGGAGGTCAATTAAATACTAGGGATGTAACGATATCCAAGTCTCACGATACGATATCGTCATGAACCTCTCTCTATGATATTTATTACGATATAAAATTGTGAATATGCTACGTTTTCCTCTTAAAATGCCTTGACAAGACTTAATCCAAAGAACTAAGACTTAAAAGTGTTAGAACTGTTTATTCTTCTTGTAGTCTGCACTGAAATAGAGCAAAGGATCATGGTCTCTGTAGTTCCCTCTGTCTTTTTTTGCTGCATCATAACTCTTAATTAAACAAAGAGACTTGTAATTCGATATATTGTGATGGTCCATGATATTATTGTGAGAACTTTGATGATACGATAACACGATATTTCGGTTATTGTTACAACCGTCTTAAATACAATTAAATATGACACAATTAATATAAGTTTTCAGAGAAGCCATATTTTAGATCATTTTAGTCAGTGATTTTTGTATTAGCATTATTACTATTATTATTAATAGTAGTAGTAGTAGTAGAAGTAGTAGTAGTTGTTGTTGATGAGTATTATTATACAAATCTTATGACCTACTTCAGTGTAAAATGAACTGCACAGAATAATTTAACATTTAATAATTTGTATTCTACAGGAAATGAATCAAAAGTTGTTAGTCTTTTTCCATACAGGTTTTGTTTACACTCACATATTCAAAAATTTTTGAATATTTTCAATAAAAAAACTGAATCTTCAATACTTATACTCACATTTAAACTGTAAGGCAAGGCAAAGCAAGTTTATTTGTATAGCACATTTCGTACACAAAGTAATTCAAAGTGCTTTACAGAATAAGAAATACATTAAAATCATAATAAAAACAAATCAAAACATAAATAATCATGAAGATTAAAATTAAAAAAGAGAGACATAAATAAACTGTAGTTATTATTGGACAGGGATACATGAATTATTGAACCTTTTTGCTGTAAATTGTGTTTGTTTCTTGTAGGATTTTACACCGTTCTGTGTAACTTTTCTGGTGGTGAATGAGTAAAAGTTTGAGTTGAGTTTGCCACCTGCTTATCTGGGCGTTTTGAAAGGTGCTCTATAAATCCAGTACATGATTATTATTATTATTATTATCATCTCCATGGCAGTGACAGTTCCACAGTTTCACATTAAAACACGTTTATCTTTCATCCATTCACATAAAAAAAAAAAAAAAAAGAAAACCACAAGACGTATTATTTTCTTACTATAATTAATAGGGATGTAACAATAACCAAAATATCATGATATCGTATCATCAAAAATCTCATAATAATATCACAATATATCGAATTATAAGCCTCTTTGCTTAAATTAAGAGTTATGGTGCAGCAAAAGGTAAAAAAAAAACAACACACAGAGGGAACTACATAGACCATGATGCTTTGCTCCATTTCAGTGCAGACTACAAGAAGAAATAACAGTTCTAAGCACTTTTAAGTTCTTTGGGTTTAGTCTTGTCAAGGCATTTTAAGAGGAAAAAGTAGCAAATTAACATAAATATCATGAAAATGAACCTACATGTTTAATTAAAAAACCCAGATTCAGAACCAAAGTCATGGACCGAAGCATCGGTGTGAAAGGAGTTAATTTATGGAACAGTCTTGACAAAGATATAAAAGAATCAAGTACAATGACGGCATATAAAAAAAAGACTTAAAGGTTGTATAGAGGATTTTCCAAGGAACGAGAAATCCAGCGACTGTTTGTCCTTTTTCAAATGTTGCGCATGCGTGAAACCACCCCCCCTCCCCTACAGCTCCTACGTAGAAACGCCTCCTCCCGCCTCTCTCTTTACGCCAGAAACAGGTTTGTTTACAGCCGGTGCGCTGCACATGACTTGTAAACAACTAACTACAGTGTTGGTTAGGCAAGACGGAGAAGTGAGGAGCGGGGGGGCGGGCGCGGACATTTCGTTCGCGCGAGAATGAGGAGAAGTGAGGAGCAGGGAGGGGAAGAGCGGATCGGGCAGCGGGGACAGGAGCAGGAAAGGGGTGCAGAGAAGGTTGCGCGGAGATTCAGTGCGAATGAACTAGCTACAACACGCAGCAGCAAGCGGACTCTTTCTTTGCCTTGAAAATTACGTTTTCAGACATAGGATATCGCTTTCGTGTCCTGAAAAACGTTTGACTAGCTCTTGGAAATAAAGTACGTTTTCATAATAAGCAGAAGTGACCTGTCCAGGAGTAATTTGTGGACCAGTGCGTCAGTCTTTAGACCCTGCGTCTGCTTCAGTCGCGCCATCGCTGGAATGAATCTATAAGAATCACCTTAGTTTGGCTTCGCTGCTTTTCCCCTTGTCTTCTTCTTTCAGCGACCTCAAAAACGGACTTTCTTTTGCGGCTAACTGCTCCTGGATTCTTGTCGCCATTGCAACAAACTTTGTGCGAACTGCGAGGAAGATATAGGTCAAAAAAAGCCGCTAAGAACTGTTGCGTTGGTGGAGTAAACAGCGTCTGTGCGTCTTGCGTCTGTGGACTGCGTGACAGTCGTACGTAAACCACGTACGCGGCGGCGCGCAGGCAAGTCAGTTACACTAGAAACGTAGGGAGTTTGATTGACAGCCTGTCAGCTCACAGATAACGAGGCAGTGTCGTTATCTATTGGCAAATGTTTAGCCCCACCACGTCCAGAGTTGATTAATTTTTATTCTCTTTTTTTTGGTCATCATAATTACAAGGCTACTGCACCTCTATAATCTATCATTGACAACTTGAAACAAAAAAAAATCCTCCATACAACCTTTAATATCAAATGCAATGTGTATGTATGAAAAAGAAAACTAAGATGTTGTGCCTAAAAGTGAAGATTTCTGTTTACAATTGATTAATAATTGTTCCTGAACTGAAATGTACTGATTGGAAATGTTTAGTAACCATCGGCATAGATGGATTGTTTTAAAAAGGGAAAAAGGGGCAGTTAACATAAGATGACTCTTCTTTCTGCTCCTTTTCATTCATTTCTTGTATGTCTGATGTTGTGACACTGTTGATGTCTTTTTTATACTTTATGAATGAAATAAATTAACAAAAAATAAATAAATAAAATACTGTACCGAGAGATTTGGATATTGTTAAATCCCTAATCGTGAGCCTCTACACCACATCGTGAGCTTTCCGACGATATCGCAATAAATATCGTACCGTGAGGTTCATACTGTGACAATATCGTATCGTGAGACTTGGATATCGTTACACCACTAATAATAAAAGTCTCCAATGGTCTGATCTGTAACGTGGCCAGGCTGAGTCACCTGTTTGTTTCTTTGAGATACTTTTAAAGATCCTTTTGCACAAAACAGATTCTTATGAGTTTTAAGCCACGTTACGATGTTACCGCCTCAAAAACAGACCTGGAGTTGTGTTTTGTTTCATTCACACATATTTCAGTAACGCTTTTCAATACTCTATCTACATCTAGAAAGCTCAAAATGCTCCACCTTATGATGTCATATAACAGTTTTCAAGTTAACACCTACTTTTTACAATTCAATTCAATTTTATTTTTTCCACAATGTTAAATTATAATCCCACAAAGGCACAAATTTATACATATATGTAAATATGTTCATACAATTAACATATATCCTCCTGAGACCCGGCCCATTCATTTATGTCCTTTGTAGTGGACATTGAGTTAACCAGATGATCTTTTAAGTGTTTTGAGATAGACTCTTAATGGGGGACTAGGTTCTTCTGCCTAAATAGGGCTGAGGGATTATAGGATATTATCATGTCCAGGATAATAAATTAACTCAAGAGGAGCTAGTTTGTGGCTCAAATATGATTAAAAAATAAATAAAGAAAGAAAGAAATTAAAAGAGAGTCTAAAAATTTTTTGAGGCGACTGTAGAAGCTTGTCAGAGATGTTGGTCATCAAAAAAGTTGTTATAGGTGAGTTTCATTGTTGACAAAAGCGCGCGTTGCATGCTGGGAATTATTTTAGTCGGCGGCAATAAACACTAATCCAACATGACGAACGGAGCGAGAAAGCACGTAAAGGGTATTGATCCCGGTTATTTATCCACTCTAACGGCAGAGGACCGAAGACCATTTGACCAGAAATTGGTCATAAGCATCGATGGAGCCAAATCACCCTTTTCAACCCCGACAAAAGGTGGACCAAACCAAACTTCTGGTCTGAATCACCAACTACCTGGACAAATATTCACTTTGGCGATATCCACAATGACTTGGTGGAAACTCCTGGGCCATTCACAGCAGAAAAGATGAAAACCTCCAAGAGTCTCGATGTGTTGTTGAACTTGTTGGAGTCCACGGTTTGTTAGGATCTTCTACGTTTGCTCTGCGGATGTTTGAAAGCCATTTAATTCACCGTTAGCGGTTCTTTTCACTCAGAATACGAAAAAGACATTTTCCTTCTTCCGTGCTTCTATTTGTGCATCCGATAATGCAGCAGGAATTTACCATTATCGGGGATAAATACGCGAGGTTACGCACTGTGTTTGACGCTATCGTGTTTCTTGCCTCCAACCAAAATATTTCCCAGCATGCAACGCGGGCTTTTAATAACAATGACGTCAGCTGAAACTCGCATTATGTTCGGTTGTTAACATCACACAGATTTAACACAGTTTTTGCTGTGTAGAGAGATATATGAAGTAAAAGAAGGACAAAGGAGAAAAAAAAAGTTGTACATTTGTGATTTGAAACTGTCATCTCTATTGGACTGTCAATAAAAATTTGGAATTACCAAAAAAAAAAAAAAAAAAACATGGTGGAACATTTTTTTGTTACTACATGACATCTCAAGGTGGATCACAGTGTTTTCTGATTAAAATAAGAACTCATGAGCCTAAATATGCAGAATGTGTGAATGAAACAACACAACTTCAGTTGTGTTTATGACGAGGAAACAAAATTATAACATAGATCAGAAAAAAACTATAACATGGGCCCTTTAATGCCGTACTGTGGAACAATCTAGACGAAGCAACAACATCTGTACACTGCAAAAAACAAACGCTATAAGTGAAGGTGACTGGAATTAACAAAGTTTGATCATGATTTGAGTCAATTTCACTCGACAAGTAAAAATATCTACCAATGGAATAACAGAACAAAACTTTTTGTACTTAAAATATGAAAATAATAAGAAAAATAACAACTTTTTGCACTTAAAATAAGAAACAAAATCAAATGTTGCTTGAATTAAGAAAAACACACTTATTCTGTTGGTAGATAATTTTACTTTTCAAGTTGAATCGACTCAAATGAAGTCAAATGTTCTTAATTTAAGTCATTTTAACTCACCTAGATATTGTTTTTTTTTTCCAGTGTAGTGTATGTAATCTATTTTTACCAATTCAATTATAAAAAGCTTTTCCAATTTTGATTAATAGCTGTTTTTTTTTTTTTTTTTTCTTTTCTGCAGATGACTCACCTTTAAACTCAACAGAATTTCCTATGAACGGGCAGAAGTTCGAGTCAAACGTCCCGGAGAACAGGTCCCACGTGATCACCCCGGTCCCGTTGAAGGTGTCGCTCACGAGGCCCCTGCACTCCACGCGCGTCTGGGCCCACTTCGTCGACATGGCGTAGCCCAGGAGAGCCACGGAGACGGCGGTGCAGCACGCGCACCCCATGAAAAACACGATCTTCTGCGTGGACGGCATGGTAACTCAACTCAAACTTCAAACTATAAATATAAGAGAGGTCCAAATGGTTTATATTCTGCTCCAAACGGGAGAGAGCGACGCGTAAAGCAGCCTGGGGTGGAGTGAGTGTGGAAACCCGGTCATAAACTATCTCGATTGTAACAGTGATCTTTGGTCGGACAGTATAATTGGTTGTCATAGTGAAAGAACATGGTAAATATAACACTAAACACACAACAAGGTAAATAAAACCTACATATTTACTATTAATAATGATAAAATCCATAAATATTGTAACAAATTCGTCATTAAACTCATTATAATAATACGTCCTTTTTATTTCCTTGTGTTTTGGTGGAGAAAAGACACACGTCAAAGTTCTTTTCCTGAAAGTGGGGGCCATAAATTTGAAAGGAGATTAATTATTTACTTTGTCCGTAATAAAGACAGAGATAGAGGAGGGAGTCAGCTGCATCATTGATTCTCATCTTGGTCACACTCCAAAAGTGTTTTCATTCATTCTGAAATTAAATTAATTGGATTTGATCATGTAAAAATCTCATCTTAAACTTCAAATCCTAAAGGTGCATTGTGTAAATTTTCTGGTGGAGCGTGCGTCAGTTGCTTCTCTCCATGGAGATGTTATTGCTTTGTTTATAATGTTTTGCAGTATGAGATTAAACTTTTCTATCTTTAAACCAAACCAAACCAAGTTACAGGTCAGATCTGTGGAGAGGCGACCCCGCTCTCAGTCAGAATGTCTGTTTTTCTAAGTATTTTTGAGCTATAAACCCGCCTGTAATTGAATAAATGTAAAGTAGATCTGTTTAATGTCACACTGTGGAACATTCCAGGCAAAGCTATGACATATCCATAGAATAAAAGCAGGTGACGGACGTCCGACTGAAAAGTTACACAGTGTTAGCCTGATTCATCAGCTCGCAGCATTCGGATTCGTTCGCTCAATGGTAGGCGGGTACTTTTTTTTTATTTAACCAATTGCTGCTGTTTGGTCGTGACGTATGTAATGCACAAAATCTCATAGGAAGAAGGGCAATTCCCTGCCTGGGTAACATAGTGCACCTTTAAATTGACAATCTTCATTATCTTTATGATGATGTTAATTATCATAGGTCACATAGCATATTAAAGTTTAATATTTAAGTCTATAGTCAATGACGCATTCACACATAAGTTAATAACAAATGTATCCAGATAGTCGTAGTTTTGTTTCTTTATTTTCTTACTCTTATTTATTAAAGACCTTATGCATGAAATGCTTTGAGAGGCTAGTCTTATTTCACATCAAATCATGCATTTCCCCAAATTTGGACAGGCATCAATATGCATATAGAACCAATAGATCCACTGACGATGCCATCTGCGCTGCACTGCACGCTGCTCTGACGCACCTGGAAACTCCCAACAGTTATGTCAGGATGCTATTTGTGGATTACAGCTCTGCATTCAGCTCTATCAGCCCAACCAAACTGCTCACTCTTGGCCTCTCACCCCTCTTATGTCTCTGGATAAAGAACTTGCTGACCAACAGACGCCAGCACGTCAGAATTGACCAGCATTTGTCTCCACCATCACTGAGAGCACAGGTCTGCCTCAGGGCTGCGTCCTGAGCCCAGCTCTCTACTCCCTCCTCACATATGACTGCGTAGCACACCATAATAATTCCAACACTGTCATCAAATTTGCTGATGACACAACTATTGTGGGGCTCATAACAAACAATGATGAAGCTGCTTACAGGGAGGAGGTCCTGACACTGATCTCCTGGTGTAAAGACAATGACCTGCATTTAAATACAAAGAAAACTAAAGAAATGATAATTGATTTTAGGAAAAACAAATGCATTCCCCATCACATTGGCCTCTACATCAACGGAGAAGAGGTAGAGAGGGTCTCCAACTTTAAGTTCCTGGGTGTGGAGATCAGTGAGAATCTAACCTGGAGCCTAAACACCATCAGCGTTATAAAGCGTGCCCAGCGGAGACTGTTTTTTCTACCAACACTCCGCCAGAATGGGCTTCCCAGAAGCTCCTAACCAACTTTTACCGGTGCACCATCGAAAGCGTTCTAACGTACTGCTGTACATCAATGGTATGGAGCCTGCACAGCTGCTGAAAAGAAGGACCTGCAGTGAGTGGTGAGAACAGCTGAAAAGGTGGTGGGCTCCTCACTCCCGAACCTGGACACCATCTACTCCTCACGTCTCCACACACGGGCCTCCAACATTTTGCAGGACCCACACACCCCGGGAACTGCCTCGTCCACACTCCCCTCAGGAAGACTTCAAAACTCCCCTCACACGCACAAACAGGCTGCGCAACAGCTTCTATCCACGAGCAGTGGACGAGCTCCAGGGACACAGGCACAGATAAAAGACCTGAAGGGACTCGATGCAATAATCTATTTATTTTATTTAATAAATGTTTTTTATTGGTATGGATGTGAGGATGTGTGTATATTTGTAAATTTTTTTACTGCTACAGATCTGCTCTGCTGAAGTTTCGTTGTATTTCATACAATGACAATAAATAAATCTAAATCTAAATCTTATGCAAAATGGACTTTTGTGAGCTTTAAGTCATGTTATAATGTTGTTACCTCCTCAAAAACAAACCCGGAGTTGTGTTTTGTTTCATTCACACATCTCAAAATGCTCTGTTCCACCTTGTGATGTCATGTCGTGGTAGCTTACAACTTAACAGCTCCTTTTACCTTTTGTTTAGATTGGAAATTCCAGGGCTGAAATCATCAAATGATTCTAGTGAAGCTGTACGGAGTTTAAAAACACACTGGAGCACTTCCTGTATCACCACATGACATCACAAGTTGGAACAGAGTATTTCCTGTTTGAGAGAAGAACTCCGCCTAAATATGCAGGATGTGTTTCAGGTTAAACATGTGTGAATAAAAAAAATAAACAAACAAAAAAACACAACTTCATGTATGTTTGTGATGAGAAAACAACATTACAACAGCAGAAAAACATAATTTGGGCCTTTTACATTTTCATTTGACTCAAGATTTTCTTAATGGCCACTTTCTGCTGTATTGACATGGAACAAAATATTATTGGTGCAAAAAGTGTTGTTCGAATTGCAACTCATTCCATTCCACTAATATCTTCTGCTAATTTATTCATCAAACTTAACATTCTTAATATTTATGAGATTAATATTTATCAGATTTATATTCTTTAAAATACAACTATGATCCTCAAACATTTCACATTTTACTTTTAAACCAATGCAGAGATTCATAGATAGAAAACTCGTCAAAATCATAATTTTCATGTTTCAAAATGTGTCACATGCAGAGCGATGTTTTGCTACGATACAGAGGCTGTAAATTGTGGAGCAGTTTTCACGTTTGACTCGTGACGGGATCAGAAATGTTTAAAAAGATTGTGAGGAAATGTTTGATATTTCATGGTAATGTTCTATAAGCATTCAGTTGTGGATGTTTCATTGTGTTTTAATTCATGTTTGAATCAAATTAATTTTATCCATTAAATTATTTTTTTTTATTTATTTATTTTTAATTTATTTTAATTTTATTTTTTATTTTGTGTTTTATTTTGTGTTTTTGTTTTTTTTATTAAGTTATATATGCAAAATAAATTAATAAATAAAAAAAAATACATAAAATAAAAAAAATAAGGTATACAGTTTTTAAGTAATTCCATAAGAAGCCACAAGAGGGCGGCATTTTACCAGCTAAAATAAGGGTTTCTTAGGACAGTGTGTTTTGGAGTGATGTTTGTGGGTCACAGAACTGAAGGATCCTCCGGGGGGCAATGTTTATTTATAGATACTAACAAAACAAAAAAAAAAAAAAAAACAATTTACAAATACATGCATGGATCCTATAGTGAGTGTGCTACATAGATATATTCAGGAAAATAGGCTTATGACATGATTAATTAAAGGTGCATTGTGCAACTTTTCTGGAGGAAGTTCGCTACCTGCTTGTCTCCATGGAGATGTTATTGCTTTGCCTGGAACGTTCCATAATATTACACTTAACATATCCATCTAGTAGAGATGTAACGATATCTAAATGCCATGGTACGATATTTATTTAAGATTTAAGATATGTAAGATTTTGGTGTGAATTATTTCTGTCATAATACCAAAAAAATTCAAGTAAAAAACATATTTCTTCATGTTGTCTGCACTGAAATGAATCATGGGATATGTAGTCTCCGATGTTTAATAGCTTTTCCTACTATAAAATCATGCATTTAGACTTTTTACGCTACGATATCACAATATTTTGGTTATTTTTACATCCTTACCATAGTATTTATTCATTATGGGTGTTTCTATTGCTCAAAAATACAGTAATTTCTTCTGTAAATGGGGCGCCTCCCCACAGATCTGAACTGTAATGTAGCGTAGAGCTGTAATCTGCTTGTCTCTCTCATGATAGATAAATTGAATCTATACTGTGGAACATTCTAGACAAAACTGTAACACTTCCATGGTCATAAACAGGCGGCGGACGTTACACTAGAAATGTCACGCAGTGCATCTTTAAGGATAAACGGAGCCAACAAATAGGCCTATTACGTTATTGTAAACAAAAGCTGTTTCCCATCTGCTCCAGCTGTCAGCTCTAAACACCCGCAGATTATAACGACACATGTTACACAACAAACCCTCATCCATTAGGCCCACTGTTATCTGTCAGGACCGATCACTGATTACGCAAAAGTGGGTTAATCATCGTTACGTTTTTGCAGTTATCTGATATACGTAAAGAGCGTTATATTCGTTTAAGAGGACATGGGAAGAAATAGATTTTGGATGATGGAGACTGCAAAAAACTATATCTAGACAAGTTAAGACGACTTGAATTAAGAAAGTTTTATCATGATTTGAGTCAGTTTCACTTGACAAATAAAATGATCTGCCAGTGGAACAAGACTTTTTGTACCTAAAACATGAAAATACGAGCCAGGTTGGCGCCACCTAGTGCCTCCACTCAATTTCATTTCTCTCCAGCGACCAAGTCAGGAATCGGAATACACTAGATGTTTTGCAAGAACCCCGGAAGTTGTAGACCGCTCAGACCAATCAGAGAAGAGCTGTGAACTAAACAGTAAACAAAGCGGTCGAGATGGATGTAGACGAAGACAGACATTCTGCGTTGGCAACGATTCCCGAGATCGAGGATTTAAAGCTGGAACAAAGAGAATGTTTGGTGAATTTTATCAAGGGGAAAGACGTTATTGCCCTTCTTCCTACGGGATTTGGCGCATTACATACGTCACAACCAAATAGCAGCGATTGGTTAAATAAAAAATGTACCAGCTTACCGTCGAGCGAACGAATCCTAATGCTGTGAGGTCAGACGGTTTCCACAAAGTGAAACCAGCTCATGAATCAGAAAATGCATCTTGCTACACTTAATATAAGAAAAACAACAACTTTTTGCATTTAAAATAAGAAACAAAATCGAATGTTGCTTGAATTAAGAAAAACACACTTACTCCACTGATAGATCATTTTACTTGTCAAGTTGAATCGACTCAAATAAAGTCAAATGTTTAAGTTAAATTTAAGTTATTTTTATTTAACTAGATATTGTTTTTTCCAGTGTATATGATGTTGTTAGCTCAACCAAAAACATATCTGCAGTTGTGTTTTGTTTCATTCACATGTTTGAGTAATCTTTATTATTAGTCTGTCTTCATCTCCAAAACTCAGAATACTCTGTTCCACCTTGTGATGTCATCAAGAGGTAGGTAACAGATAACGTTTACATTTTATTCAGTAGAGATTGGCAAACTCCTCAACAGAACCATGAACACTTTGATCACAGGCTCCTGGAAATGTGTTGTTTACATCTATTTTTGTCTTTTTTTCTTGAGTTTTCATATTATATTGAAACATTTCATCAGTTTTTGCTAATGCATTGTGTCACCGCAGCAACTGTCTAACATTCTGCCAGTAGAGATCCATGTAGAACACCCCTCAGCATCGTGATGCCACTGCAGAGTATCAATACCACTCGCAGTTTGCATTCCAAGACTGAAATAATCCAATGGCGTCGTCTAGTGAAGGTGTATGGAGTTTAAAAACACAGTGGAGCACTTCCTGTATTACCACATGACGTAACAAGGTGTGGATTCAATTACAGGAGGTTTTATCGCTCAAAAATACGTAAAAAAAATTCTGAGTTTTTGCTTTTCCACAGATCTGACCTGTAACTTTGTCTGGTCTCCATGATGCCAGAAAGATTTAATCATAGGGATTTAACGATATCCAAATCTCTCGGTACGATATTATCACGATATGCATCTCACGGTACGATATTTATTGCGATATTTTGGAGAAGGTAATACGCATAATTGTAGAGAAAACACTTTTTTGCCTTTAAAACACCTTGACAAGATTTTGGTGCAAATTATTTCTGTCATAATCCCAAGAATTCAAGTAAAAAACATATTTGTTCATGGTGTCTGCGCTGAAATGAATCATGGGATATGTAGTTCCCAATGTTTATAAATTGTTGCTTCTATAAAACCATGTATTTAAGCAAAGAAACTTGTAATTCGATATATTTTGACAGCCCGTGATATTATTGTGAGACTTTTGACGATACGATATCACGATATTTTGGTTATTGTTACATCCCTATTTAATACCATACTGTGAAACATTCCAGATAATGCAATTACATCATGAAGAAAAAAAGCATTTGACTGACCCTCCACCAGAAAAGTCACACAGCGCAACTTTAAAACACAGTAACTTGCCCACCAAATATCTTGAATACTTTACGAGCATGACTGCCCAACCCACGTGCCACTTGCGCTGTTCACTCCTCTGTTTAGTTCCTTTATTTGTTCATCCACATGTTCTTTGCAGCTATACACACCGCTTTTGTCCTCCCTTTATTTCTCCTAACAATGAAATTCCTATAAAAAAAAAATCCTGTTCTGGGGCAGATTGGGGTTGCCAGGTCACGCGTCGACTCTCCGTGGGAGCGCACACAATTACCCGCTGACACATGTTGTAATAATGTCTTCCACCAGACCGGGGCTCCCTTTCACCTCGCCAAACATCTGACAGCTCCTGCTCCGCTGTGTTGTATCGGAGTAAACACAAACTCCTCCTTCCTTTTTCAGTGACAGGCGGCGGCAACGCATTTTTCCCAACACAATCCGCGGGTACGAAGCTGCAACATCCCCCGGTAAGTTGCCAAATCTAATTATTCAACATTTTGCTTTTGATTGGCGTTTTGGGAGGTGTGTGTCGAGCGGGAGACGTGGATTTCCCGGTGTTTTTCTTTTTTTCCCCCCCGTTACACGTAGTCGTTGGTTTACCTGTCCATTACGCACGCTTTGGCGCATGGACATAGCTCACTCAACCGCGCGTTTTAACGGAATTCTAGCCACCGGTTTCACTTCTGAGCACGCATTTCTTACGTTTAAGCCACCACGCGGGTTCTGACTCCAATTGTGCACGCCACAGCAGTGTAAGATTCGTCAAACCACCTGGCTCTGCGCTAAAGGGGAGGTTGTGTGGGTCAGTTGGGCAAGCGAAGCGAGCGCTGTTGTGGATTTCTGTTGCTCAAATCTTGTTCCTGTCTTTTCTCGTTGTGACATGTTGAGAGTGAGGCTTGCATGCACGAGATCGACCTTTAAGATTGTGCATCGTGCAGATTGTTTCCCGCTCGTAACTGTCCCTGATATGTTAAACTGCCTGTAAACATAATTCAGATGGACAGTTATCGCCCATAGGAAAAGTGCTTCCTAGAGAGAGCAGAGGGTCATGGTTGGAAACATTCTGGTGTAGCTTACGTACAGAAACGGTGTCAGTTTCATATTTTGCACTGCATTATTTTATGATATGCAAAGCTTGTTATGTCTTATTACACAAATGAAAAAACTCGCAGAATTAAAGTACAAAATATGCAAGATACTTTGGCTTTAAAGGGCCCATATTACGCTATTTTCTGGTCTGTTATAATGTTGTTTCCTCATCAAAAACAGACCTGAACTTGTTTTGTTTCATTCACCACATGTTTAACACACAAACCCTGCATATTTAGAAGTTCTTCTCTCAAACTGAAAACACGCTGTTGCACCTTGTGATATCTTGTGGTAATACAAGAAGTGCTCCACTGTGTTTTTTAAAAACTCCATTAGCCTGGTTTACCAGCCTGGTTTCACTTTCGTGGAAACCGTCTGATCTCGCAGCATTAGGATTCGTTGACTCTATGGTAGACGGGTACTTTTTTTTATTTAACCAGTCGCTGCTATTTGGTCGTGACGTTTGTAATGCGCTGGATTGCTCAGTACTGTCCAAGTAATCCCCGGCACAACAGCAAACAAAACAGAGAGTGAACATGTCTGTCAAATGATCAAGTTTGTATTTGACAAAGGAAGTCATAATAAAGGAGGATAATGTATGCAGTGTGCTATCACAACTCGGGTTGGTTCAGCTCTTCGCTGATTGGTCGGTGCTCGGTCTACAACTTCCGGGGTTCTTGCAAACCGTCTAGTGCAGGAGTGTCAAACTCATTTTGGTCCGGGGGCCGTATCCAACCGACTTTGATCCCAAAGGGGCCGGATTAGAAAACTCATGGCATATAAACCCCAAAAACACCAATAAATACAAATATTCGTGCAGAGAAACAAAAATCTATTACAGAAATCTATTTTTAATTGATGAACTCTTTCTTTCACAAAATATTATAATATTATGAACAACCTGAAACTTTAAGAAAAATGCGATTTCAACACAATGTTTTAACATTAAGTTGTATGCAAATAGGAATAAGTCAGTTTTTCTTGGAAAATCCTGCACTCGACTCCACTTTTCTCATTTGTGACATTTTGCTGATGAAGGTGTCACGGTCAACAGTCGTTTGGAAAGAAACAAGTCTTCATTTGTGCTGCTCTGGTGGGAGGGGCCACGTACAGAGACGCTGGAGACGCTGCTATGCTCAGCACCGCAGAAAATTACCAATATTTAATAGAAAATATAATTAAAATATTTTAGTAGAAAATCAGCCGAGGGCCACATTAAAGAACTTGGAGATCCGGATCTGGCCCCCGGGCCGTATGTTTGACACCTGTGGTCTAATGTATTCTGATTCCTGAACTAGTTGCTGGAGAGAAATGAAACTGAGTGAAGGCACTAGGTGGCACCAGACGGGCAAAAACTCCATACTCTTTTACTAGAATCATTTGGATAATTTCAAACTTGGACTTGCAAATCTGTTCTGAACTAAAGGCAAAATGGAGCTGTTAACTTGAAAAGCTTTGGAGATGTAGACAGACTAATAATAAAGAGTTACTCAAACATGTGTGAATGAAACAAAACACAACTCCAGGTCTGTTTTTGAGGAGGTAACAACATTATAACTTGGGTTTAAAGACACAGAACACATTTTTGTGACCTTTTTAAAATACCGAACCTGACCCAGATCTTAACCAGGTCTAAAACCGGACTAAACCAGGTCTAAAACAGGACTACATATTTCCTACTGGAGAACAAGAATGTGATGAAATTGACTCTAAATTCAGCAAATATTTCTACTATTGATACTTTGCAGCTGATGCCATCAACATTGTCAGGGTGTGTGACGCTAACTGAAAGCACTGCTCTGTCTGAAGCTCTGTTACTCAAGTTAGACTTTAATCTGAGTTTTAATTTCACACAATCTGACTTGGTTGGAACTACTGCAGGTGAGATGATTGGTGATGTCGCTCTCACCTTTTTGTTGAAAATCAAGCTCCTAAATAGAACCATGAACACTTCGATCACAGGCTCCTGGAAATGTGTTGTTTTCATCTATTTTTGTCTTTTCTCTTGAGTTTTCAGCCTATGTTAAAACATTTCATCAGTTTATGCTAATGCATTGTGTCACCATGGTAACTGTTGAACATTCCGCCAGTAGAAATCCATGTATATCCACTATCAATACCACTCACAGTCTGCGAAACATCTACAGACAAATTGCCTTCAGTTCTATAGTTACACGTTTGTAGTTTTTTTTTTTTTTTTTTCATTGTTACCTGTTGAAAGAGCAGCGCTTTGTTAGTTCATGTCAGGCACGTTCAAAGTGTGGCCCCGGGCCCAATAGCGGCACACGGACACGTCACGCCCGGGCCGCTTGTGTGTTTGAGTGTATTATGTATAGCCTGCAGCTCTGTATCAACCTGCACTCATAAATCACAAGATAATTAACCGGTATGCATTCCACGATTCAGAAAAGATTATGCGGTGAGATAATTCTCCATAACATTCAATCAAACCTGCTGTCAGAATGGAAGGCGTTGGTTGGTGGTTTGCCGTTCTGATTTTAAAGGTCCTATATTTCGCAAACTTGACTCTCGTGAGCTTTAAACCATGTTATAATGTTGTTACTTCATCAAAAACAAACAATACCCGGGGTTGTGTTTTGTTTCGTTCATGCTAGAGTAAATCTTTATGATTAGTCTGTGTACATCTCAAAAGCTCAAAATGATCTCTTCCACCTTGTGATGTCATGTAGGGTGATAGTTTTCAAGTTAACAGCTGCATTTTACCTTTAATTCAGTGGTAAAGTTTGGCTCGCCTTATTCATCAGCCGGTTTCACTTCGTGGAAACTGTTTGACCTCGCAGCATTAGGATTCATTACTCGATGGTAGGCGGGTACTTTTTTTTATTTAACCAATCGCTGCTATTTAGTCGTGACATATGTAATGCGCTGCTAACGAGGCTAACTGGTATATTAAGCTTTTCCCAAATCCTGTAGATCTAAATACTGACAATAACTTCTTTCCCCTTGATAAAATTCACCAAACATTCTCTTTGTTCAGGCTTTAAATCCTCGATCTCAAGAATCGTTACCAACACAGAACGTCTGTCTTCATGTACATCATAGACCGTATATATGAGTGGACATAGCTAACACTCTAGGAAGTTCACCAGGATGCTCTTTTGGCTCCTTCTGACTCTGGCTCCAATTGGCTTACAATGGAATATTGTGGCTCCTCTCTCTGTAAATGCTGCTATGAGCCTCATCATTTTGGTCTTAGAATGTTGGTATTAACCCGCGACACATGATCCTGAAGTTTTTTTTCTCTATTTTCGTCCGTCAAAAATTCCTATTGGTAACATAAAGCCTGGGTCCAGATTCGCTCCTGTAACCTTGAGTATCGTCACTATGGGACATCACAATTGCTTAGTCCACTTCTTTTATACAGTCTATGGTCCATATCCATCTTGACCGCTTTGTTTACTGTTGTTCTGTATCACAAAAGAGACCCAGACAGGCGCTTGAGTTTGAGTTTGACGTCATGGCTTCACAGCTCTTCATTGATTGGGCGGTGCGCGGTCCACAACTTCTGCGGTTCTTGCAAACGTCTACTGTATTCTGATTCCTGACCTAGTCGCTGGAGAGAAATGAAACTGAGCAGCTAGAGATTGGCAATTCCAGGGCTGAAATTATCCAAATGATTCAAACGAGTGAAGCTGTTTGGAGTTTCAAAACATAGTGGAGCACTTCCTGTATTACCAGATGACATCACAAGGTGGAACAGTGTTTTCAGATTGAGAGAAGAACTCAAGGTTTGTGTATTAAACATGTGTGAATGAAACAAAACACAACTACAAGTCTGTTTGTGATGAGAAAACAACATTATAACATTGATCATAAAATACTGTAATATTTCTCCTTTAAACTTGTGATTTTGTGATTTATTAGAAAGACTAGTGTGTGTGTGTGTGTGTGTAGTGAGACTCAGTTACGTCTAATCGTCCAATTATATGTTTGGTTTATTTTTAATTGAGCTAAGAACACACTGTATGAATATTTTTTGCCGTATCACCCGCCCCTGTGCAGACGCTAACTGCTCCTGACATTGTCCACCGGCACAGTTTGAAGCATGTGTGTAGAGGACAAATTTTCCTTTAGGGACGACAGTAAAACCCAACCCACAGTAAAACACACACAAGCATGACCGAATGAGGAAAAATCAACACTACTGTCACATGGTTTTAGTCTTGTATTTCACTGTAAAGAAAACATAAGGGTTGCGCAATATATTGGAATTGCCTGAGTGCATTTATTTAGATAACAGGATGTCCTCTTATTTCGATATCTTTTTATAGAAACATATTTTCCTCTCAAATGTTAACGTTCCTGGAGTTGTTTACAAGGTGCACAATACTAAAATTTCAAACTTGATTTTAATACA